TTAAGGTTGCTTAAAGTACATAAAAAAAAAATTTTCTTTTCTTCAATGTTTATTTATTTTGATAAATCTATTGTTCATATGATAGCAATAGCAAGTTTTTTTTATTGATAAAAAAATGGAACTATAATGTTTAAATAAACATTATTACATTTGTCATTAACATGTCTAAATACATGTGCGGCCCTTCGTTAGCCAACCTCCTGTGCAAGTGGCCCTTCACTCAAAAAGGTTGTGCACTCCTACTCTAAGGTATCATGATAAAATTATCAAATTTTATTACATTTAACAAATTTAGTCACAGATTATAAAACCGTATTTTATTGTTAATTTTACGAAAATCATTACCAAAGCGCTTTGGTACCAAGATTTTTGATACAGAATAAAAAACACAGCATATTTTACCATATTCTGGTAGTTTTGACCATAGTTTTTTTTTTTCGGTGTGGAAATTGTACAAGTTAAAATTATTAAATGAATTTTTTATTTAATTAGTTGATTTATTAAACGATTAAATTATATTTACGTAATTATTTCATCCTATGAAAATATTAAAATAATTTTATGACATTATTAAAATGCATACTTATGAAATCAACTTGAAATTTAAGATATTATAAAAATTTATGTATCACTATATTTTTACGATCTTTAAAAATATACTAACATTCTAAGAAAAATCTTTACAACCTCTCAACAATATTGCATAAATTTTCTAAAAAATTGTTAAATTGGAACCTAATCTAATTTAAGTTACTTACAAACCTGGAGAGTACAATTGGGAGTATAATAAGAAATTGAGAATATAATTGGGAGTAAAATAAAAAATTGAGAATATAATTGGGAGTACAATAAAAAATTGAGAATATAATTGGGAGTATAATAACAAATTGAGAGTATAATGGGGTAAAGGAAACTAGAGAAGAAGTGACGTGATTATGCCTAACCATGTGATTTAAATAAGATTTAATTGGATACCTGTAAGCGACGTCACGCGTGTGTGTCAAGCCTGATTGGCTTCTGAATCCTACAATGAGTTATCAACGATGATATCACTTGCAAGTATCCAATTAAACTTAAAATATAACATGAGGAATTATGTACAGTTAATTGATTTCAGTAAAATTTTTTAATTGCTTACTTATTATGTTACATCAAAATTCTTTTTAATTAATGAAGTTTACATTCACAATAAAATATAAGAAGGGATAACAAAGGGTACTTACAATAGATTTAAGTTATGTAGATCGTTGAAGGTATCTTTTCTAAGACAAGATATTTTGTTGGCATTCAACAATCTAAGAAAAAAATAACATTAATGTTAAACACAATTTGAAGAAATAAATATTTTATGTACAATTCTGAACATCCGGAAACTTTAAAAGAACGACAAAAGGCATTATGAACAATGCAATAATTTAATGACATTTCAAGAATATTTTTTTAAAAAAACTGATCAATATTTTAGTGCTCGTTTACAATATTGTTTAGGATCCATGCAATAAAAATTGAGAAATTTGGAACAGTTAAAAATTAAAAAATTTCTGCATAATAATGCCTTCATCAACACTCACAGTCTATTTACAGAAATACTTCTAAAAATGCATCATAAGTTAGACAGGAGTTATTTTTTGGCACAAATCAGTCATCAAGGATTGACACTGAACTTTCCGTTTACGGCCATCGGAGACAGATATAAAACTAGAAACATGTACACTGCGCAAAAGGTGGACCACTCTGAATAACTTTTGATCTAATGATGGGATTTTCACATTCTAAGTCATAATCTTAATGGTTCTAGGGGGAGAATTCAAATATATTAGTTAATGAGAAAAAAGTACTTTCTCTCACAAAAATCTATTTTCTCTGAATCCCTTTTTTCGACGGATTCAGATTTCAGACCCTCAATATATAGGAATATATTGAACCCTATCCTATCTCTCGAGATAGGGGGTAGCAGCAATCTGGGAAATATGGCCCTCATAATTTGGTCAGAAAAGCTACTCAAAGTTTGGACCCCTAAATGTTCATTTTACTTTTTGCCTTTTTCGCCATATCTCGAGAACTTTTTAAGCGAATCGAAAAATTTTTGCACACAAATATAGAATTCGTTTATAGAAAGATAATTCCAGGCAAAAAATAACTTTTAGTAAATTTTCCTTCCTTTTTTCATTTTTCAACACTGAATTGTAAAGTATATAATTTTTATATCATTTTATAGAATATGATTTTACATGGCGAAATACAAAATGTGGTCGGTCCAATATCTTTTGAGAAATCAAATTTTGAAAAAGTCGTAAATTCAAAACTCGACTTCTCAGGAACTATTCGACCGATTTAGTTCAAATTCTGTATTTTGCCAGGTAAAACTACATTCTTTAAAATGATGTAAATTGTATTACCTTACAATTAAATATTTTTCGACTGTTATTACATAAAATAATAATAAATATATACTATAAGTTATCTTCTGCATGGAATTATTTTTGTATAAACGAATTCTATACTTGAGGGCAATCAGCTCTCTTAAAAAATTCTCAAGATATGGCGAAATACGCAAAAGGTAAAATTACAATTAAGGGGTTCAAACTTTAAATTTCTTTCCTAGCCAAACTAGAGGGAGCATATTTCCGAGATTGCCGATACCCCCTATATTTTGGAGGTCAGAAATCATAATCCGTCGAAAAAGGCATGTTCAGTCAGAGAAAGTATGTTTTTGTGTCTGATTTCGTAACTTAAAATATCGTCCGCGCTAATTAACTAACATATTTGAAGTCACTTCTTCGAACCATTAAGATTGCGTTCTAGAATGTGAAGAGCTGATGATTAAATCAAAAGTTATTCAGAGTGGCCCATTTTCTGTGCAATGCTTGTTGTTTAAATTAATTATTGATAGTTTATTTAAAATTTGCTTAATTTTTACTTACTACAAGTCAAATTTTTATTTATTTCAATCTGTTAGTAGTCCGCTTCGCTTTTTTATACCACAGTGCAATCGCTATTAAACAATACACTTGGTCCGCGCTTCCTTAAAAATACGTGCAGCTCTCAACATGTTAAACAGAATTAGAATAAAAGGAAAATTTTAATATTAATACCCTTTTTCTAGACATAACATCAGATTTTCTGAACACCAAAAGTTTGATTTTAAATTATTTTAAAAATTTCAAATTCAATTGCAATTAAATTGCAATAATTTCTCGCGTTTATGTATTTTTGATAGTGTTAAAAGATCTAATAATGTTTTTTTTAAATTCATACTTCTTTCAGCAAATATTTTTTTCTTCGTAACAATAATTTACTTTTCCAACAAATAACTTAAAACACATTAAAAAAAAATAAATATCCAACATTTTTCATTTAAATTAAATTTTTAAAAAAATCCAATAATTTTGCTTTTAAACTTTCAGGAATTACTAGCACAATCAAACAGAACCTAAAGATCATACATATACACCACTTAATTCAAAAAAGCTCGTTAAGTTCGCCCAAAATATTGCCGAAAGGTTATGCAATAACAGATGAGGCAATTACATTAATGCATTGTCCATGGGAATTATGGCATTTTCCTGTCGGCCGGCTCTCGGCCCATTTGCGGAACGGACAAAATCTTGAGTGGAACATCAGAGGGGGAAGTAGGGGGATTTATTAAGTTAAGAGTTGTCCGGGCATCCAGGTAATAAAGGGGCCGACCTTAATTACATTGAAGGAGGGGAAGAGTTTGAAATGCTGATCAATCTTTGGGCCCGTGCCAAGGTGGCCTGCTGGGCATCTGTGTAGTAAGTCATATTTTCGAAGGTGAATTACTCTATTAAAGAGATAACGCTTCGCTGGAGGCTTTCTCTAAACGCATCTCGAATCTTTTTAAAGTGATAATGAGAAGTTACAGCAAAGATTTATCGTCTGCAAGCATCGATATGTTTATTCTTTGCAGTTTCTTGAAATTTAAACATTTTACATCGAATTAGTTTTTATTTTTATGGCATTTTTTTTTCTTTCACGTGCGTCGTCGGAAACAGATTTTTGATTAAACTTGTGTTTTGAATCCGCAATAATTTTGCTGTTGTTGCAGGAATGAAATATTTAATTTCTATTAGCCACTATGTTCTATTGATAGTTTGCGAGCTATTAAACTTATTTTACAAGTTATAGAGATATGTTACCAACTTTTAAATCAACTGATAAATAACTGTTACGATAATAGCATACTAACTTATAAACCAATTTATCAAGTTATTAGGATAGCATATTAACTTATAAACCAATTTATCAAGTTATTAGCATAGCATACTAAATATTACCCAACTAATGGAGTTAGAGTAATTCTATACCATCGTTTAAATCAATTTATCTCGTTATATAGTGATAGTATACTAGTTTTTTAACCCATAATATAGACATGTTAATTCGTGTTAATATGTTAATAAAGGGGTCAACCTTAATTACATTGAAAGAGGGTAATAATTTGATTAATCTTAATACTTGATTTATCTTAAGCGGCCTACTGTGTATCAAATCACATTTGAAAAGGTGAATTATTCTGTTAAATCGTTGGAGGTCTTCTCTAAATGAATATCAAATATTTTAAAAGAGATCATAAAAGACAAGGGATTTATTACAAGATTGAGTTATATTATAGATATGTTTACACTATTTTCGTATCAGATCCTTTTTTGTGCATTGTCGATAAGAGATTTTTGTTGAAACTGTAGCAATTTCGTCAGTTTTTTGAAAGGAATTTCTATTATTTACTATATACTGGATAGAAATCTAAATATTTAAGTAATTTATCATGTTAAGGTGGTAGTATACTAACTATTGAACCTGGCATTAAGATACAAAAAAAGACTGATCTTTAATGGAATGAAAGAGTGAGCAGTTTAAGAAGCTGATGATCAGCCTTTGGATCCCCAGCACAAGAGGACTTCTAGATATTATCGTTAGATACCGTAATTCCGAAAAAGAATTACTCGTAGTATTTATCATTCTCATCATCATCATCACCCAACCATAGCCAAGCACCTTGTCCAAATTTTTAGGACTATCTTTTAACGGCCATGGTCGGAATGCCACGTAATTTTGACCTTTGTCAGACGACGTGGACAAGGCCTGAGTTGGTACCCCTTTTCCCAATTTCACACAACAACCAACGAGAGGATTTTCAGCCACGGTAGTTTTAAATTACACCTTGTTGTGTATGCACGACGGTTGTTTTGTCGGCCGTTCGGATTGAACTCACTACCCCCAAATATTCTCATCATATTTATTTTATCATGGCAGTAAAATTAAAGAATTTTAGTTTCAATTGATACTTTTATTTACTATTTTTATTTTGTATATGGATCATAGATAAAAACAATTTTAACGATGCTCCAACCATTTGTAAATCACTTTGGCTTTTTAAATTTTCCTCTGTGGGATATTTTTTGAACACAGCTATAAAATCTTAACTAAGATCCAATCTATGAGAAGCACCATCCTCAATGTCGAGATTGATCGATTGATTGAATGTAGGGTTTAATGGCACTAAGTCCAAATAAGGACATGCTGAGCCATCATCAATGACGAGGTACACAGAATATGTGTTTGCCTCGACACTGTTCATGGAGCCATTCAAAACACTAAAAAGACCGCCTATCTTCGTAAGGTATATTATTTAAATTGTGTATTGTGTACTGTTACCATGTGTACTATCTTATTGTATTACACTGCAAGGATACCTTCCTTCAAATATACTTTAAATAAAAATTTATAGATTCGATTAATTTTTCTACTAATCCCTTACTTAATCGTGCTATATTGATAAATCAAAAATATAAAGTAGATAGTAAAATATGTAAAAATATAAGCTTTTATTTAAAACTAGTGGGCTGCGCCCCCCGCTCGCTAACGCTCGCCAACCCCCGAAAATTGCTACGAAATCTTATATGGTTTGCTTCGCTCGCTACTAACTTAGGTACATTGCAAATGCACAAAATTCTAAGAATTCAAAAGAATCCTTCAAATTCATATAAAAACTTTTTTTAAAAAAAAAATTACATCTTTTTAGTAAATACTAAGTCATTAAAATAAATTTGAATTCAAATAAATGACATGTAATTCGTTAAACCTATTAGAAATGTGCTATAGTATAAAATCTTAAGATAAAATTTCTAAAACTGATATCTCTTTAAAAAGGTTAAAATTTTGGCTTTAATTAAGTCTATTAAAAATTTAAATAAGTGAATTGCAATGAAAAAACCTGCATAAACAAATAAATTCTAGTAAAACAAATAAATTCGTGATATAAATCAAAAATCGTCAAATAAATTCGTAATATATAAATTCGTAAAAAAAAAGCGCTTTCGACAAAATACTAAAATAGAGATCTATCGACAAAGACTACTCACTTCTGTCTAACTTATGCTCTCTTTGCTTATTTCAGTTTCCGTTTTTAAAAGCGCTATATGTTGAGCCATCTCAGCTAGATTTGGCATGTGACATTTTTAGAGGCAATCATTGGTCGATTATCTAGCGTTGCCATTCGGGGAGTTGTAATGAGGCTTTTCTTTTGTCGCCGTGTAAGAGAAATATATATATAGATGGGCTTCATGGAAGTTGCTTAATTTTTATATTAAAAATAATTCAATTAATTTTCTTATAACACAAAACTATTTTAAATAGTTTGCAGAAAAATTAATTCTTGACTATATATTTATATGTTAAACTGAAAGAATAAACTCAAAACTAACCAATTCTAATACATTTTCATTTTAAACATAGTTACGTACCTAAATAGTAATTTTTTTATATTTTTAATGCTTGGTGTCTTCAAATATTTATACATAAATAAATTACTTTATTATAACCTCCTAGAGCTGAATTTTAATCATAGTTTAGTTTTGTGAAACAAGAAATTTATATTTATTATAGGTATATATATTTTCCAAATCCTACGCAATCAATTATTTTTATCTTATGCTTTCAGCAACAGCATCTGGCTTAATGCATAAAATATAATCCAAAAATGAGCTATAAATATTTTAATAATAAAATAGGACAAATATCATTTGGATTCTGTCCAATATTTTTATTTACTTAGCTCCATAAATTTTCTATTAACTTAATAAATACTTTATCATTCTTCATAAATACAGAAAATGAATAAATGATAAACCCGTTAGATTTTGGTTTAGAAAATTTAACCCAGATGGCTTTTTGTTTAAGATTTGTTATGGTACAATCTCGATTCTGTATAGATTAGTAGCAACATATATAGACAAAATTCTCCATTTATTTTCTGAAATATTTTTGATATCTAAAAAAAGCATATTAAATGCTACGTTTTTTTGCAAAAAAATGTTTTCCATGATGGAAATAGAACATTTAGGTCAAATATTAAGCATTTTTGGAACATTTTCTTTGAAATAATTTAGCTTGTTTTAAATATAATATTTATTAAAAATTTCTAACAGATTGCTTAAAAAACATCATCAAGAAAGTTATTTTTATACACGTTGAAAATTATAATCTAGGTCTTGGTTAGTGTATTATTAAGAAAAGAAGGTGATTCTTAGAATTATATATAAGGATTAAAACTCAGAATAAAAGTAATCTGAGTATTAATCATGATGTAAAGAAACTTAGACGTTAATATATTTTGCAATTTTTTAAGAGCAAAAAAATAATCAAAATTTATTATATAATTTGTCAAATTGTCTTATAATAATAATTTAGTTTCCTCTTTTATGAATAGATGGCAGCACATTATTTTCTACGTCATTTGACTTTTTTAAAATTTAAAACATATTTACAACGTTTAGGAAAAGCCCTTTCAGAAACGTAAATTAAAGATTTTAATAGTGGGTGCACCGTAAAGCCACATTGTAGCGGTTGGCAATATATAATTTTTACAAACGATACGTAATTAGCAAACTTTTTTTAATATACTGATATTTAAATGTTCTAAAAATTAATCATTCATTAAATAATATTTTTTGGTGGCTATGATAAAAAAATATAGATAAATTCAAATTGAAGAGAATCGAATTGATAAGAAAAAGACTACTTACAATAGTTGTAAAGAAGATAATCCTTTAAATATTCCATTTGTTAAGTCAGTTACCTTGTTGCCATACAGAACTCTATAAAAAATATGCAAATTAATTTATACAGGAAACAGAATGATTAACCAGAGTTTATTATGATTTACTTTATTTAATTTTTATGTCTAAAAATATTTCTAAGTGAATCCACGGTCATTTATTGAAATTAATTCAAAAAGAATAATAATATTTACTAAATATTTTAGGGTAAATATAGAAAACTAAATTTTTCTGTACAAGAAAACAAGCAACAGTTAATTCTGAATGGAACTTATGTACTTACAAGGACGTAAGAGTCTTTAATCCGCTGAAAGCATCTCCTGCTATTTTTGAAATTTCATTGTTACTGAGATCTCTAGAAGGTAAAAAAAATATTTAAGTGTAAATGTAATTTATTTGAATTAAAATTAGTTAAAAGAAAACAATATCTTTCTCAGTAGGCCTACTTCTTTCAAATTGTGCAATCAATTCAATTTGTTCGAAGTAGTAATCCTAGATAAATAGAAGGGTCAGTGCATAAATAAAAAAATAAATAAACAAATAAAGTAAATAGTAAAAACATATATAAATAGTAATTTTCAGGTAAACTATCCACAAATATTGTTGAAACATTAATCTTTGCTTTAATATGCTTTCTTTTGTAAATAAACCCAATTAATCTCATCCAAGTTGCCACTCCAGTACTGATAATATATATTTACCTGTACTCGTACTCGTGTACTGTAATCGGTTTCCTCAACAATCTCAATGTCAGCGGTTCGCAATTTTATATAGGCTATGGAACCCTAAGTGATGGGGCTTCTTTAGATGGAACCCCGGTATTATAAAAAAAAAGTTAACTAGCAGCTGTGAATATAATAACAAAAAAAAAAAGACTACTAATTATTTGGAAAATATTTAATGCGAAAATATTTTGTGTGAAAAATAAAATATTTCAAATTATGAATTTGCTATTCGTGTATGCATTTGCTGAAAATGACATAAGTCAGCTGAATTACGGTTTTTTAAAAAAAGAACTGAATAGAAACGTAATAGAATAGAGAATAGAAACGTAATTCTTTTATCTTGATTTTAGTTATTTTAATTTGAATTGAAGAACTGGATGAGAAATATTTATGAATTTTTAATGCATGCACATATTTTGTATTATGTATTATTATTATGTATCATTATGTATTATGTATTATTATGTATTATGTATTATTATTATGTATTATTATTATGTATTATTATTATGTATCATTATGTATTGTTATGTATTATTATGTATTATTATGTACTATTATTATGTATTATTATTACGTATTATTGCTAAGAAAATATTTTTTTCAAATTTTGATACTTTTTGTACTTTGCAATACAAAAATAATTTCATGTAGACAACTGAAGTGCAAAAAAAAAAAAAAATTGTTTAGAGATTGGATGTAATCCTTCCACCGAAACCTAGGGTTCCACGGAACACCTTTTGGGTCGTCACGCTTGGAATCGATACTCAATGTAATCTCTCTTAGCTTTATTTTACGTTAAGTTTCCATTGATATATTAGATTGATTAAAAGTTTTTTTTTCTGGTACCTGTTATATCTCATTACCGAATTTGAAAAATGCTTAATCTTTAGTTTAAACAAGTTAAAATGATATTTACTTTTTATCAATAAAATCTATCGAATACAGATTAAAATTTATAAAAATGTAAATAATTTATTATTTCTAAGTTTTAACAACCACAAATACCTATTTCTGGTACCCTTTACATCTCAATACTAATACGAAAAATTTGATAATACAAACTGGTTAAAGAAGTTTTTTAAAAATACTTTTTGGAAAGCTAACTACGAAAAAATAATAAAAATGAAAAACAAAGTTTTTCGCTACATTTGTAGTGAAATCCATTAAAAAATATAGCTACATAAGTTTCGAGAAGAAAGAGTAAAATTTTTAGTGAAGGAATATAATTGTATTTTGATATAAAGATTAGTTTTAATTTTAAAACACTAAATAAAGTAAAAAAGAAATGTTTCTTTTTCTCAAAATATTTGAATCATTATTAGCGCATATAATTTATTAAAACAGTTACATGAGAAAATATTCCTGTTGTGTTGCTTTAATTCACAGCTTGTAAAATATTTTTCTCAGACAATCTTTTACGTTATATGTCAAAAGTTATATGAAAGGATCCATAAAGACAATACCTATTCCCCGCATTTCTAAAAGATAATACATATTTAAAAAAAAATCCAAATCACGAAAACAATCCTAAAACATAAAAAAATCATAAAATATTAAAAAAAAAGTTTTAAAAAAAGGACGAAAGACCGGCAAACAAATCTCCAAACAACATTCTAATTCATAACCATTGGAGGGAAGAATAAAACTGAAGGTTCCAGCAGTAAATTCTTCAGATCAAGAAAGACGTGCAGAATCACCCCCTCGGGGGTGGAGGAGCACTGAAAACGAGGAAAAGAATATCCATCATGAGGGTAGAGAGGGATGTTTAGAATAGAGTGAAGTGAAACAAAAAGAGACATGCCACCCAAAACGTTCCATCCCTGCTCTCGTTCATCATGTGTCACAGTCAAGCATGTTCATAAGAATTTATAAATTCAGAAAGGAAATACAATCAGAGAAAATTTACATCAAAGAGCATCAATGTCAAGAACATTTGATCATCATATATATTTGTGGAACTTGCTGTTTGAAACTTCTTCAGTATTGTGATCTTAATATAGTTGTCGTTTTTTGATGATGTGATTTAGAAAAGTAGTTAAAAACATAGTAGCATAATTTAGAGAAGATTTCATTTTCTTAGATCATTGGTTGGAGAAATAGTCATTTTCTTAGATCGTTAGTTAGAGAAGTAGTCATTTTCTTAGATTGTTAGTTAAGGAAATAGTCATTTTTAAGGTTGTTATTCAGAGAAGTAGTGACCACTATTAACTGTTTGAAACTTTTTGAAACTTCAATGTTGTGATCTAGAGAAGCAGAGATTTTCTGATGCTGCAATTTAGAAAAATAATCAAAAACATATTAAAAATTGCAAAGAAATAGTCATTATCTAAGATCGTTAGTTAGAGAAGTAGTCTTTTTTTAAGGTTTTTATATATTCAGAGAAGTAGTTGACAAAATACTATTTGCTGTTTGAAAATTCAATGATGTAATCGAAAGAAGTAATCATTTTCTATTGCTGTGATTTTAAAAAAAATAGTCAACAATAAATTAGTAAATGTAGAAAAGAAGTCTTCTAAGGTCGTTAATTAGAGAAGTAATTATTTTTAAGGTAGTTAATAATTTACGAATGGTGTGAATGCGCGAGAGTTTGATGTAAGCATTCTTCTTTATTCATGTTTAGATTTAACTACATTCTTTGAGGTATAATGAAATGTTTGAATGGGTGTTAACTTTAAATTAAGTGTTCCATTACACAATTGTTAGTGTTGTTCAACATCAAATTTGGATAGCATCTCAATTATTCTCAAAATTTCCAATAAATAAAAATAAAATTATATCTTTTTGTACTTACATTCTTTTTAACCTCTTGAAAGATGAAAAGGCTTTTGGTGGAATTTCACGAATTTGGTTTTGTTCTAGACGTCTGAAAGCAAATTATTGAATTAGATGTGAAAACTCAGTTTTTTTCTTTTGACTCTTAAAAAAAATGATTAATTATATTCTGAAAAATATATACCACCTGAAAGAGCATGATTAATAGAAATGCTAGATTAATGTTTTGTCTTTTTAAAGAACTGGAGTGCGTAAATGTTTGCTAATAAATGTGAAGTTTATCTTACAGAAATAAGTCACTAAAAATGTGCGTTAAAAAAATTAACTGAGAAATACAATAAACGCAAATATTTTCCAAAAATATATTTTTCAGATACATTCACTGAAAAAAATATTTTACAATGAAAACCCCTATAAACTGTACTTAACAGAAATATTAGCTCAGGACACAATGCTACGGACAATTGTCCCTCTGAGCAATTTATAAAAACTTTTTCAGTTTAACGCTGATAGTATTTTCAATCTATTGAAGTGTTAAATAAAAAATATCTTTCAGGTTGAACCTATTGTTATTTGGCAATAGTTTCAGTTCAACGTTGATGTTAACTTCATATTAATAAGTTGATAGATTAATTACTACCATTTAACTTACCAGTTGTCTTTCTTTGTTTCAATTCAACTTGGACGGTAGTTTCAACTAATTAAGTGCTACATTAGGCATGTCCATTCAGGTTGAACCTTATTCTTGTCTATTCCTTAATTCAGATCAACGTTTATGTTAACTTCGATCTTATAAGTTGCTAGATTAAATACTGCCATTCAAGTTGAAGCTTATTGTTAGATGTCTTTGTTTCAGTTCAAATTTGATATGAGCTTTGATCTAATAAAGATCTGTAATAAGCATGTCGATTCAGGTTTAAATACATCATTTATTGTTACGGAAGTCGTCGATATTACAGTTTAATGAAGTACCATGTTAAATATTACCATCCAAGAGAATTTTATTATTATTTTCTCTTTGAACTTGCATACTCAATACGTTTTAATGGTGTGGTTTAGTGACATTTGATAGTGTTTTTATCAAAAGTTTAAAAAAGTAAAAATAAAATTTTTTTTTTTATCTAATAGAGTTTTAAGTAACTACTATAAGAATTTTCTTTGCTCAGAGTTATACGCATGCGCGGAAGAAATCAAAGTAACTCTACGATCAGAAATATTAAAACTATGCCCTATAGTTATCGTAAGTAAAATTTTGTATCTCAGAATGATTTACGTCATAAAAAACTTTTGGCCCTATAGTTATCATTTGTAAAATTTTGTATTACAGAATAATTTATATCATAAAAAACTTTGCCCTATAGTTATCATAAGTAAAATTTTGTATCACAGAATAATTTACGTCATAAAAAACTTTTTGCCCTATAGTTACCATTTGTAAAATTTTGTATCACATAATAATTTATATCATAAAAAAAACTTTGCCCTATAGTTATCATAAGTAGAATTTTGTATCACAGAATAATTTACGTCATAAAAAACTTTTTGCCCTATAGTTATCATAAGTAAAATTTTGTATCGCAGAATAATTTATATCATAAAAAACTTTGCCCTATAGTTATCATTTGTAAAATTTTGTATCACAGAATAATTTATATCATAAAAAAAATTTGCCTTATAGTTATCATAAGTAAAATTTTGTATCACAGAATAATTTCTATGATAAAAACTATGTCCTACATTTACCACAAATAAAACTTTTGCATCACAGTATAGTTTATATCATGCATAGCAAAAATAAAAAAAAAGAAATTGCCTTGAAATTTATAGCATTTTTCATCATCTACAGTCTCTGGACAAATTATTAGAGGAACTAAAAGATTCTATGTAAAATCTTAATTATCTGGTGATACTATACAATATTATAGTTTTTACGCGGCTGAAAGCGGTTTGCACTTGTTTATGGTCGTGTATCAATTGGTTAATATTGTGATGCAATGCGTAAAAAATAAATACAAATAGGACGTATATAAAAAATTTCCTGAATAAAAACCCATTACATGTATGTTTAACTATAAAAGTATTGCTTATAAACTCGTGCTAAACATGATATTATTAAAACACTACAGTGCGTTTTATAATTTGGTATCATACTAATATAATACCTGATATAATAAATATTCTATATTCATATAAAATTTCGTCTTATTTATCCAATCGTCGATTTTATATCATATATCGTCCAATTTAGCCAATTGATACACGAACGTAAACAAGTGCAAACCAATTTCAGCCGCGTCAAAACAATAAAGCTTTATAGTATCACCTGATAATTAAAATTTTGAATAGAATCTTATTGTGCATCTAATAATTTAAGTTAAAAGAAGAATAAAATATCCCCATATAAATCCCATTTTATTTTTTACCCATCTCAAAAATTCCACACCCTGTCATAAATATTCATTAACGAGACTTAAAAATAGAACATGAAGCGGTCTCTTGTATTTAACATCTTTAAAAAAATTTCAGCTTTTCAGAAAAATTTTCAAAGCACCTCCTTCATCCGAATTCGCCAATTTTAGTTGCCAAGTGAAGGTGACGTTAATATTCTCGAAAATAAGGGTGATATTGGACAGCTAGGCAAATTCTTAGCAGTAAATTACTGATAATGAAGTCGACAGTGTCAACCGCGGACTAATTTACCTTCTTCGCTAGGAAATGCCCTAGAGAGGATGAGTTATAAATAATTTAGATCTCGTCAGATTCTGGAAAGGATGTTTAGGTTTCCTTCGCCGTCTTCAATGATGGTGCTTATTTGTAAGCAGGGTGTTAAGTAATGACACTGTAAGTTTGTCCAACTTATGTTAGTGTAGGATGAATTATTTCTGACATTCTGGACTTAAATATTGGTTTTATTGAGTAAATTGAAAAATGTCTTGCGTGGTGTTACCTAGAGCGAAATTAAATGTTTCTTAATTTTTTTTCGTTAAGAGCAAAATAACATTTTTTTAAAAATATCATGAATACTTAATATAATAATAATAATTAATATAATAATAATAGTTAAATAATATAACAATTAATTAATATTAGAATAATTAATTAATATAATAATTAATAATATGAATAATTAATTAATGATATGTTAAATACCTTGAAATCAACTGCCAAAATTATTTGAAAAAAATCTCTGAAGAATTATCCTTAAAAAGAATTATTATCATCTAAAAGTTTGTAGGCTTTCAAGAAGAACAATGGTTTTACGACTGTAGATTTTAATGAAAGAAAGTTCTAAGTAGTGCTAAAAAAAATTGAGACATCTCAAGGAAAAATTCTTTTTAAAATTCTTTTTTGATGTAACAACATAAATTTAGTACGCAAAATCTTTAAATTTCGAAGGATGTTCAATAAATATGATGGATATAAGTGGCGATTTTTGAGCGTCTTTCTTTGAATTCGAAAAAGGTTCCAAGTGCATTTAGCACCAAATGAACAAGAATCTGGCGAATAACCACTTAAAAAGTCTTTCTTTTGGCAGCAAATTAAAACACTATGAGGCCAGAACATTTTAAATGATTGTTTGGGATTTACAGACTTCTCCAATTGTTTGTTATAGATAAGAAATAAAGGCAATGCATTATTTTTATTAACTTCACATCTTTATATCAACCACTAATCTTGAAAGCTAAGTTATTCTTATTTTCTAAAATGTTACTAAAAACCTCAACTAGCGGAATTGAAAGTTGATGTGTTCTACTTTCGACTCAAATTTAAAAATGAAAAGACTACATTATCTATAAATTCTTAAGTAAATTAGATAAACTTAAATGGATTTAGTAAAACTTTAGGCTTTACAATTTTACATCACAAGCAATTAAAAAGTCAATGATGTCTTTAATTGTTTAACTGTTGTAAAGTAAAATTCCAGCAACGATGCTAGATTTTAATAAATGCTGTAGTGTTCTTTTGCTTAGAAAAATATAAATAGATTTAAGAGCAACTTTTATAAGGCAGTTAACGTTTTAGAATTTTTTTTAAATTATAAATATGACTTATTGTATTGTACGGTTAAATTTTAAAATATTTTTAAAATATTCAAACGATTTATAAATTTATATACTCACAGTTCAGTGGCTGTTTCTGGAATGTGGTCTGGCAAACGACTGAGACCTTTGTCCCGGCAATCAACAACTCCATCATAACATGAGCAAGGATGAGGGCACATTGGTTCTCGAGAGCAACCTGCCGGAGGTTCTTCTTCATTGCCTAGCCAATGAGAAGTAAAACTTTTTAACAATCACTTCATAGTAGATAATCAAAACACTATTTCGAAATCAAAAATTGCTTTAGTGCCATACAATATAGAGTTAGAGATAACTTATAAGCCTTTTATGTAGTGCATGCATCATAAATCAAGGTGAGTAGCCCAAATCTTTCAACAAAAAATAAGCACCTTTTAAGTACTTTTTAAGATTTTAAAAATATTTCGAAGCACTGTATACATTAACAAAATGCAAAATAGCTTTCAAAGACTTCACATGATCATGATAAAAATAATTAGTTTTTGACAAAGAACTCTTTTCTTGAGCCTACATATTAGCCAGCATAAAGAAATCGAGAGATTTTTTGGCTCGGTTTCAGAGGGTGGAAAATGAAGCATGAATTTGAGAGTATCTTGCAGAATGCAGTTGAGTTGCACATGAGAGTACAAGAATCTCACCCAACCTAGCTCAATATATACGCACATGCGGAACCACGTGAAATGATTGGATCTTTCATACGCTACGAACCGACGGTACACTAAAATGGATTGTTTGAATTAATTGTGAAAACTTTGAATAGAATTATGAGAAAACCGTGCTTTTGCATAATACGTGGCGAAAATCGCCAAGGTAAAGGGAAAAAAATCTCATTTTCGAAAATGGAAAATTAAGCCCTTTTTTAAGACACCCAATGTAAAAAGCACCTTTAAGAGCTTTCAAAAAGCGAAAATCAAAAATAAACACTTTTTAAAAACTCTACGCACCGTGTAAATAGATGTGCAAATGTGGCCTGGCATACAGCTAAGATCTTGGAAAACAAAACGCTGCTTTGGGTAAAAAGAAACATTTTGACATACAATATAGAATTTGATTATACTTGTCGAACGTTTTTTTTATGTAATGCATGTATAATTAAATAACGTACAAATGTGGTCTCGCAATTGAAACCAGAAACAAATCAGTACTACAGAAAAAAACTACTGCAATATATATAGTTTAGTTTAACCTACGAGTCCTCTTTCATGTAATGCATGTGTCATTAATGTATGCACAAAAGTGGCCAGGTAATTAAATCAGACAGTCAAAAACAAATCATTACTACAAAAAAAAAATACTTTAGTGCCTTCCAATGTAGAGTTTGATCAAACCTATCGGAATTTTTCTATTTAAAGCACGTATCATTGATACATGTACAGAGGAAATGTGACAATCTGCTCAGATCATGAGAAACAAAAACGTTACTAGGGAAAAAAATACTTTGGAATACAATATAAAGTTCGATTAAACAAATCGAACTTCTTTTACGTACCGCACGTGGATCAATAAAAGATCTTCAAAATTAAAGGGTTGATTGGCTGAAACACTTTTCGCCGGTTACAAGAGCAAAATGCGACTAATTTAGATGGAGGTGGCTGTGGTTTAACATAACATCAAATAAAAAAAAAATTATACCAGGTAAAGAGTAATAAAAGGTTAATGTATATTCGAGGCACGTTTATCTACGAAACTTAGTTTTCTAAACGACAAAAAGTGCCGTGAATTTGTTGAATAATTCAAATCGTGTTGTATATCAGAGTTTTGTTAGTTTTCGAGTTTGAGGAATATCATTTAGACGGTTTAATACAATAACTACCTATTTTTATAAATTTATAAGCCCGTGCTAGTCTCGAGAAAAATAATATTGGTTTTTGAAAGCGTCACTTATGCCATGAATCATTTAATTATCATTATATTATTTTATGCGATGTGCCGACCGGACCTCACAACACCTCACCTGATCTCACACCAGGAAGGACTTGGGTTCGAATCCTGGACAAGGCACGAATGTTCTGGTATTCTTTGTATTATCTGTCCTTATTGTGAGAGCAACGTTGGCCTACTTAATATGGCGCCCTGTGAGTGGCCAACAAATCTACCCTACTGATATCTGAATGACAAGTGCCAATCAGGTGGGCATCGGGAAAAAAATTATACGATGTTATTTTTCTGATTGCTTTTACGTGCTTGTACAATTGGGTATAATATGAAAAAAACACAACTACTTCGATTTAGTAGGAACAACATATGACGCAATGCTAAACGAATGGAATTTAGTTGTTGTTTATTTAGTTATTGTTATTAGTAGTTGTTGTTATTTGTTTTAGTTGTTGTTGTTTATTTAGTTGTATTTAGTTTCAATAACTTTTCTTTATAATGCAATAAAATCTGGCGAGCAGCTATTTAAACGATCGAACACTTCGTTTGTTTATTTGTGGCTTGAAGTTAGGCTCGCAGAAAATGCCGTTCATGGGTTAAATTTAGTAGGAACAACACAACCTGTGACGTAGGCTATATTATACCCAATTAAATTTTTAACAGAAGGCTATTTTCAAGACTTTTTACTTTCAATTTACAAGATATATTACTTTAGATTAGCTACGCTATGTAAACTATGCATTTATAATTAAATTATAGCGAGTAAATATCGAAAAAATAAAAGAAGAAAATAACAAGTCAATGAACGTGTGGTTCAGCTCGTCAGTGAATCGACATGTTAGTAATCTGATAATCATTGAGAGGGTAAACTACTGTCTTGGTTAATCTGTGAGTTGGCATATTATTGAATCCGATAGTTAGTGAATGAATAAATCAGAGAAAGAAAACAAAATCCAAATAAAGGAAAATTAGTTAACCAATAAATCTGTTCATAAATACATAAAAAGTGTGCAAACCTCAACAATTTGAGGTAAGATATTTTATAATCACATTTTTTAATCTTTATATTTTTAAAAAAAATAATATTTTTCAGAAAGAACGTTTCGTTACAGGCGAAAAAACATTTTAGAACAGATGAATAGAATCGATATGAATAAGTCGTACATTAAAAAATTAATTAAAAATCATAATTTGTTCTGCGAGTGCTTAATGAATGTGCTTAATTTCTTATGAGCATAAAGATTGCGTTTTGATTATTATATTTTTTAAAAATAAGTTTTTCAAGATGTTTAAAATTATATAATATGTTTAAAGAGAGAAAGAAACTCCACTGTAGTGAAATATAAAATGACCAAATACATCTAAAAATAACTAATTTTTTTCTCTTTGTGATACCTTCAAATGGTCAACTTCTGTAAGTTCAAATTTATAAAGAACAATACATAATGAAAGAAGAAAAGAAAAAAGCAACTGATAGTTTGAGCAAACCAGCCTTTGACTTATCATGATACCATAGTGTTTTCTTCGTAGAATTTCCACGGTGTACAAAAGAAAGCCATTAGAGACTGCATTTGGCTTCTTTTGGATCGCTCAACTAACCTTGTTAGTTTCTATTCTATCACTTTCAATGGAATTCTCCTCTCTTTTCCTTTCCTGTTATGCTCTCCATCTCATTCTTTGCTGTAGATTCTTTTGTAGAAATAGAGAGTATTGCGCTTATTATTTTCTTCCTTTGCTTGTCTAGCACCGGACGTGCCAAGATCAATTCACTTTTTCTCGGACTGGCGCCATTTGGCGAGAATATTCTTTGACCCTTTTCATTGAATTCAATGAAGAGGAATACCAAATGAGACAGCTTGCTGTTTCAAATGAATGGAATAGAATAATTTATGTATAAGTTCTGTGTATGATATGCAACTTTTGTTGTTTGATTAAGGAAATATAGCTGTCCTAACTTTGTTTACAAAGAGAAATTTTTACTTTGTAAAAGCTTTTAACTGTTCCTTGTGGGGTATATGAGGATTTGTGTTGACATAAAATGCATTGATAAATAGTAAAAACCTATTCTTTCAATATTTCACAAAAGTTTTTAGAAATGTTGATTGACCTTTCGTTTAAATGCTATTTTTCGAAGCTCTGACGGAAAGGAAAATAAAAAAGCCATTAGATTAAGTGCCTTGCACTTGAAGTAATGCAATGATTTTAAACTATGTACATAATCTAGCCATTAAGAATTATCTGGGCTTTAGAACAAGCAAATGACTTAAATATTTTAAAACTTATTAATTTCTTTTAAAATATCGCCAATTTGGCAACATTTTCCCACCTAGATGAAAATTATCAAAATCACTGCCTTATTCTTAGTTCTTGCAAATTTTTATTTTATTTTTCATTTTCATAAAACTGTTGCTTTTCTCCATGTTGACGTTTTGCGCCATTTTCAAAATAAACGTAGACAGATAGGCTAAACTTGACCTAACAGTCATAATTAACAGTTGCAAACTCATAACAATTATAAAAATTGAATATTGTTCTCAAAAAAGCACCATTTCATGTTACGACGGAGCTTTTGAAAAACAGCCTTAAAAGTAGTAAAAAGATAATTTTGAAACGTCAGATAAATAAATAATAAATTTTAGATTCATAAATTCTATGTTTAGGGATTCAACAAGTAATTTTACAATTGTATGCAAAATTGGAAAGTTATTATTTTTACATTGATGCCTGATCATCAAGTAGTACACTTATACATCGATAACCAGTACATTGTATTAAGTGCATTGATGATTGAACACTGAGGATTATTAAATCCAGTAGTGATTCAAAATGTATCATACATTTTAGAGCAATTAGAAAGTCTGAAGAAGAGATATTGAAAATTCAAACCTCGTATGATCAATAAAATAGAATTTATAACCATTTTAGTAAAGAAATACATCCTAAATTAACCCGGTCTACCACGGAGGGAGTAAGCTATATTGTCTTGTCTTAATATGTTAGCCTATTTCATACTGGGAACTCTAACTTTCTATGTTTATAAATTGTTAAACTATTAAGGTTAAAGCTTTCAAAATATTTGTCAAAGTTTTAGCTCAAATGCTACATTTAAATGCAAGTACAGTGAAAATATGAATATTAATAATAATTGATCGTAATATAACAATTATAATTGTAGCATACAAATTAAAAAAAATATGGGTTACCAGACTAAAACGCGATTATCAAAATCACTTTCGCGACTGACAGTTCTGCAGACTGGGCAAAACTACAAATACTGAAATCTTAACATTAGTCTTTTAGTTAAATTTAACAGCGAAGTGGTAAAAATATTCCAGGTAATGGCTGTTAACTTCAACAAAAAAAAACATCAATGCAGGCAATAGCCGGAAATGTATACCGAGCAATAGCTAACAACCATAAAATTTTATCATTGAAGAGAAAATTGGGCAAGTATAAACCGGGAAGTTGCCATCTCCTAAAGATGTGAAATATGGTCTTTATTATTTCCCTAAAATTTAATGCCACATTATTTTTCGGAAGTATAATTAAGAAAGGATATTTTCTAATACTTCTACCCTCTTAAAACTAAATTTATTATTTTATACCACAAAGGAATTTTAAAATTTTTACTAGAAACCAATGAAAGAAGCTTCTTTTTTCTAACAACTATTCACTTTTTCTCATCCTCTCACACCAGCCGTTCCTGACTAACCTAGTCATTCGAAAATCTCTTTACACACCCCCAGAGCACCCTTTATCCCCTCCCCTCAACATCTAAGTACACACTTCCAAAAAGAATGTAATAGCAATCTCAGAAGATAAGGATAAAACAGGAGGAGACACTCATAAAAAATAGGACGGGGGTCAATCCTAACAAGGTTAGGGGTCTCTTAACTTAATCTAGGGCTACACAACAACTGTCTACTGTAGGGAACATCAATGTCGAGATTGCTTTGTACCCGTTGGGGGTGCTGTACCGAGCATGAAGGTTCTTGGAATTGTTTTGGGAGGTGTATTTGAATAATTGCTTCATTAGAAACTCATTAGTTGACGACCTGCTGTTACGTGTTAAGCATGCTTATAGAGCTAAAAGCACACTTGGAAATTGTTTAGCCGCAGTAAAAAGTCCCATGAGCAATTTTGCTGATGTACTTTGATAATTAGCTTTGAAATGTAGGGAATATAAATTCTTATTATCAAGACATTAATTCGCATTCTTCAGATTTGAACTAGCCCGGACAAGAGGCGAATTTGGGTAATAAGATAAAAAATTATGTAAAAATTTTTTTCGAACCTTTATTGGAGAAATTTTTTGGGTATCACATATTACTTTCTCTTAGCTAACAAACAGATTAAGCATTTTACAATTCACATTTGGATCAAGCATTTTACATTATTTTCTTACAACTCAAATGGGTGAAACATTTTACAATATTTTCTTACAACTAACAGACATATCGAGTATTTTACCTTATTGTCTTACAACTCAAACGGATCAAACATTTTACATTGTTTTCTTACAGCTAACAAACGGATCAAGCAATTTACATTATTTTCTTACAATTCAAACGAACATTTACATTTAGCATTATTATCTTAAATTTTAAAATATTTTACATTATTATCTTAATGCTCAGATGGGAAAATAAATATAGATGAAAACAGTTACAATAAAGTGAACAAAAAAGGTGGCTTTATTTTATTAAAATAGCTGGTTGTAAAACCGTTATAACAAAGTAAAGAAAGTAAGTTCAACACATTTTATAATAATAACTTAACTGAGGCTATTTTAATTTAAAATTTTGTACATTTTCATTAATATACATTTTAATATATGCATAAAAAACATGCTAAAGTATATTACCAATATCTAAAACTAATACAAAGATAATTTTGCTTTAAAAATTTTTTATGCAGTTGCAATAATATAACCTTTGTCTTTCGTAGCTTTCGATTTATGACAATAGTTGCTACAATAAAAGAGCGAGTAAGATGTTATGTAACTAGTTATAAAAATGCTGAGACAAAAAATATCTCTAAAAAGGTTGTAATATCTTTAAAAACAAAAGAATGAAACTCCGGATAGAAAAACACATGTCAGAACGAAATACAAAGGAAGAAAAATCCATATCAAGAAAAAAAGATATATAGTATATGTTTCTCAATTTTCTTCTGATACTAATATCTTCCGCCATAAAGTGATGTAGAAACCAACGATATAGAATCACGCATCAAAGAAATATCTGGAAGACGAATATCTGGACAAAAAATAACAGAAAATAGTCTCTGGGGGCTTTAAAAAAAGGAAATAACAGACACACTGGGGAAGAAAAAAGTACTTGGGAAACATTGATAAGTCGAGTGTAGACGCCTGCAGCCTAGCGCCGCGGTGAAGACAAAAAAGTACACGCGCGAAGCGTACTTGGAAAAAAAAAAGAGTTCTCCAGACATTCTCCATAAGTTTATCACAAATGATAGTGCCAAACTGGGAAGCCTGTCACTTGAAAAGGAATTTTCAATTTTTAATATCGGCTCTTTGTATGCACTTAGATTACCTGAAGTAAAAGCTTTTGAGTTTGCTGAAGGATCTAAAAATAAAGAAGTTGCTTCAGGTTGTCAGAAATTGATTGAAGCGGATTAATTGGCAGGTGTAGTGTTTGTTTGCATATACAAAGAGTACAGATTTTAAAAGACGAAAAATGTTTTAAGAATATTTCAATAAATTGAACCAGATTTATAATGCACAGGGCGTTCTGTAATCATTGCTTTTAATATGATTCTGAGAAGTATTTTTTTAATGGCTACAGCTTCAAAAACAGAATTTCTCACAAAATATTTGACAGAACTGTGGTGATTCAGGGGATAGGGCGTTCACCTTCCAATGAGGTACCGGGTTCGAATCCCAGTGATGGCTGGTGGATACGAATTCCGCATCCGGCTTGAACCTACGAAGTGCAGACGCAAAATATCCGCAGTGGTAGACGGATCATGCGTTGGAGTCTCATTGACGTCAAACTGAACGTGGGAGTTTTTCGCGATTTTCCTCTCTACTTAACGCAAATGTGGGTTAGTTCCATCAAAAAGTCCTTGACGAAGGTAGATTTCTCCCAGTACTTGATTCAGGATTTGATTGTCTCCTAGATTGGTTTAAAACAACAAGGTTACGGAGTTGAGCGTTAGTAGTAGTAAACCCAAAAATTGGGTCAGCTGTTCAACAACGGTTGTACATAAAAAAATTGACAGATAAGAACATGACCATATGTCCAGCAAATATTATATATATTTGTTTAACAAATTTCATCAAATTTAAATTTATTAAATTTGTAACAGAATATTTTGACTGCCACAAAGAAAAATATTTTTTAAAGCTACGAAAATCACGTAGTTGCTTGAGGGTAGAAGAATCTCTATCGAAAATGTGTAAGATGTCAGAAATTAGAATTTTACGAAAAGAAATGTAGAATTATGTTTTATTTCAATAAGAAAATAAATCCGTTTACTATAAAAAAAGGAAACACTGATAAAAACGGTGAAGATGTTTCTTTTTTAGAATGGCGGTAATAAAAAAGCTTTCATTTTATATTGTTTTTCATTTTTTATCGTCTCTTAAAGAAGTCGAATTTTATTTGTTTATTTTTTTCATACAAAAATTCGTTCGTCAATTATTTTTTTATTCTATACATTCTATAATAACACTTCGAATAAAGTAACATACTCCCTTGCAATAAACAGATATATTTAACTCAAACAACAAATGATACACTAGCATTTAACAAAAAAACGAAGATTTATGTTCTTATTTCAATAAAGAATAAATCATTTTTATACTGAATAAAGAAAACACTGAAACGGAGAAAATGTTTCCACTTTTAAAATGGTGGAAATAAATCAGCTTTCATTTTAGGCTGTTTTTCAAGAAACGTTTCATAAAGAATTAAAATTTTATTTTAATTTCTTAAAGGTAGGCTTTTCCTTTTTTCAAAGGAAAAATTCTCATGTGAATTTATTTTATACAATCTAAATTAACAATTCATATAAAGCGACTTATACTAATTTTAAATGAAGGAATACATTTCTCTCAAAACAAATTATGACAAATAAAAAAGAAACATTTTAACTAAATATAGTAGAGTTCTTTCTGTTTTTAATCTATTCAGAATAACAATGGGAAAATCAATGACATTAACTGTTACTACACGAAACATTTTGAAAACAATTATGCTTGTTTAGAAGATCTTGTTTTTTTAATTTATTGATTTATCATTAATTTTTTAATTTATTGATTTATCATTAATTTTTTAATTTATTATTTTTTTAATTTTAATAGATTTTTTTTAATTATCAAAAATAACAATTTACCGCTTCATCTGAATCATAATAAATTATTAGAGATCAAGTAATAGTTCACATTAAATAGATTTAATTTTCTTTACCTATTAATTCGAATTATAATAAATTATGATAGATCGAGTAATAGTTCACATTAAATGGAATGAATTTATTTTACCTGTTAATTCGAATTATAATAAATTATCATAGATCAAGTAATAAGTCACATTAAAGTAGATTTAATTTAATTTACCTGTTAATTCGAATTATTATAAATTATCATAGATCAAGTAATAGTTCACATTAAATGGATTGAATTTATTTTACCTGTTAATTCGAATTATAATAAATTATCATAGATCAAGTAATAAGTCACATTAAAGTAGATTGAATTAATTTTACCTGTGCATCTGAAATCGAATTCATGTAGCTCAGCGATGGCTTTATTCTTGAGATAGAGAGGTAGATTGCACTTTGAAAATAGACCCAATCTAGGATTGCGTCGTAACCAACCCGCCAACCACGACAAATGGCAATCGCAAGTAAATGGATTGTCTGATATCCTCCTAAAATTAAGAATATATTTTATGAAAACAAATCTTTGGATACTCAATCATAATAAAACTACAATAAATAGCTGAATATTCGGGAGAAAAAAACAAAAAAAAAAGTTAACTAGTAAGTTTTATTAACATCAAAGAAAATGTTTCTTTAATAAAAAAACTTTGTTTCAGACCTAAAACGCTAATTCTATCAACTTCTTTTAATAATTGGCCACGCTGTTAGAAATTAGTTGCAAAAATGGTTAAATAACAAATAATTTAATTGTTATTTTACCATATTCAAACAAAACAGTTAAATAACTATAAATAAGATGCTATTCAAACTGTTAACTGTGAGAAAACCGTTTATTAACTACTTTATACCTAATACGGTTAAACGACCAGATTCTTATCGCACTAACTAGGCCAAATTAATGAAGCCACTTAATTCCTTATACAGTACATATTATAGCTCAGTACATATTATAGCCGAGAGGGTTAATCTGTCAAACTCATTACCAACAGAACGAGTTCTAGCGTTGATGTCATAATATTTCTTCCATTTCCTTCAACGCAGAATGAAGAATTTCCAGCATCCTGCATTCGCCAATTTGTGACCCTGGACAATTAGAATAAGATACGCTCATTCACGCATAGATGGCAGCACTATAAAGCATAAAAGCACAATATGAATTAATCCATATTGTTTTTCATTCATATTAAGCAGAATGAAGCATTCATCAAGTTCATTCCAACAGAATTTGATCATTATATGCCTAACATCAATATAATTAACAGCTGATACAAATTCTATCTATTTAAATTTTGACCTTATTCTCTTATCTTTCAATATAAAAATTAGTTTTATTAATCGGAAGCCTTTTATTACTTTTAAATGTTAGCTATACTGTAGTATATCATATCAGGAATAATACAAAGAATTTATATACATTAAAATGCAACGAAAAAAAATTCTCGAATTAAAAAAAAAAAAAACTAAAAATATTTTTTTAAAAGAATGAATATTTTTTCTAATTTCTGGAAAACTAAGTAAGTTTTTAAAATTTTGAAGTACATAAATAATTTAAAACTAATTTTAGCTAATTCATATTGTGAGCATTATTTTATTAATTTTCTTTAACAGATTGCCCATGGAAGTCATTTTGGCTGCTTTTTAACTGCTTTTTCATTTGCAAAAAATGTACAAATAATAATGCATAAATTATTTTTTTTCCAAGTTAAGTAATTTTTTTATTGTTAATATTTACTTATAACTTGTTATATAACTGAAAATAATATAAAAAATATTAAAAATAAATTAAACAAATTTCTTTACACATTATTCTTTCACAAAGCAGTCATTTTGACTACTTTTGGGCTATATAGGTATATACTAAGTTTCAGTCCTTCTAGTGTTAATAACAAAGGTACTAAATACATGATTAAGCTTTTCCATCAGTTAAGAACACTAAGAATTTTTATAGCATTTTAATATAGTTTATTCCCAAGGTTTCAAGTATTCTGCATCTTTATTGAAATTTTGCTTCATTTTTTTGTATTAAATTTAAGGCGAATCACAATAAAAATCAGAGCAATTTATTTAAAAGAAATACTTGAAAGAAGTTTTAGAAATATTTGAATTTTCTTTTCTTTCGAATCATTTCTCTTCCATAGTAAGCATTTTTCTGATGGTGCTCAGATAATGTAATAATATTGTTTCAAATGTTCCGCATTTTTATGGAGTTTTTACTTCATTTTTCGTTTAGTCAATATTGAATTTAAGGTGAATCTTAAAAAAAAATCAGAATTTATTCATAAGAAATACTTTAAAGAAGTTCTAGAATTATTCAAATCTTCAATCTTGGATCATTTCTTTTACACCAGTTAAATATAATAAGCATTTTTCTTATGTTGCTTTGATAATTTATTTATCAATTTTCAAATGTTCTGCATTTATATGCAATTTTTACTTGATTTTTCGTTTACTTAATACTGAATTAAAGGTTAATCTCAATAAAAATCAGAACAATTTTGTTCCAAAATATACTTCAAAGAAGTTCCAGAAATATTTGAAAGCATTTTTCTTACAAATATATAGCTATCCAAAGAGAGACAAACGATAGTTCAAATTGATTAAACCCACACCAGTATTTGTTTTATATCTATTAAACCCTATTACGCCCGTCCAAAATTTCAAAAATAAACAATGTTTAAAAAGATTAAAAGTTCAAGAAATAAAATCCCCTTAATCTTTGGCCATAAAAGTAAATCAAACCTTCTACAAGAGTAAGCAGGCCTCTCACAACATTGCCCAGCAGGAAAAAGATCGGCGGTGATTTACTATAGGGACGATAAAACAAAAACCAACTGTTAACCCGCGATAACCCTGAACCGTTGTAGAAATATAACAAGATAAAAACAAAAGCATTGAAAAAAGCGCCACAATTGGTTTTCGTAAAAGAAAAATACTGTACCGTTATACTCTCTCGATCACGTGACCGGACACCGACAGTAAAATCCATTTAGTTCTTTAAAAAAAAAAATGGTTACACGCGTCCATTTGTAGAGATGATAAGACCACACTGTGTAGATGCTTCACTTTGATTGAGAGAGCATTTAGTTGGAATTGAAGAAGTGTGTTAAAAGACCGGATGGTGGTGCTGGGTTGACAGAAAGTCTCAATATGTTTCCACATAACATGAGATTTTAGCCAGATAAATTACTCTATAATGAATAATAGCCGAAGAAAAATGCACGCATTAACTTGAAAAAGATAGCGTAAGAAGATTCGAACTAATTCAATTCGCTATGGATACTTAACCCAAAAGTAATATATATTCTTTTTTTTGTTTTACAAATTTCTTCCCCTAAATTTTTCCATTTGAAATACGATGCGGAAGGACAGCATGATGTCATTGTAAAAGCTTACGGAATTTTGAAAGAATTTTGACAGGGTTGTTTCATGCAAGACTTCAATTAGTCAAATAACGAATAATAAATAAAAATAATGACCACATGCAAGACTTCAATTAGTCAAATAACGAATAATAAATAAAAATAATAACAGTACACAGGATTTTTCACGATAAAATCCACTTTCCCCGGAACATGTTATAGAATAAACTATCTGATGTAGCGCAATTTTTACAGCAATATCCCCTTAAAATTACTGAATCATTCCAATTAAATAAATATTGCTGTAAAAATTACGATTTAATATTTTACAGTAAAAATTTATTTCATGGATGGCGCAGCCAGCATTTTATATCGTAATTTGATCCGGAATTTTTTACAGTGTTGGTAGTCAAACTGAGTTACATCGAAATTGGATAATTTTTTTTCCGATGCCCATAAATTTGTATAAGCATCTGAGTTTTCTTAATTTTTCTTATTTCTTTATCAAACAAGAGTAACTAGAATCTAACTCAAAAATAATAGTGTAAAATATTTTAAACAAATTTAATTCGCTTCGGTGTACACTGTCAAAAATTACGAATACAATTACCGTAAAACATACTGGCACCCTGAGAGTAGCATCCGTAAAATCCATTTTTACAGTAAAATTTTATACCGTAAATCTAATCTAATCTACTGTAATCTAATTAAAATACACAAAAGCGTAGAATCATATATATAAAATACAATCTATTCATTTTACTCTCATTTTAATTTTCTTGTAAATTCGCTATAGTGCTCTACATTTACGATGTAAATAATTAAAAAAAATTGTTTAGCTCTATTTTAATTCAAAATCTGGATTGCTGCTTATTTATAATGCTTAATTTTATATTCAGTAAAAATTTTGATAATTTATTTTTAGAAATCACTGTGAGGAAAAACATTGGATACGCAAAACAACGTTTGCGCTGAATGGAAAATTTTTCTTCTTGTCAAATTTAATTTCACCCAATAATTACAATAAAATTTTTTTGATGATCTCAAATTATTCTCCCTTTATAATCAATAATAAAATTGGCATTAAACAAATGATCTATTTTGATGATAAAAATGCTATTGTAATTGGCGTCACCTTTATTAATAATTGTCATCGTATGATAATTGAATCATTAGATAAAAAAAACTAGTGAGATTAAAAATGGTGATCACTTTCTACGGTTTACAATTTTACATGTCATTTTATAATCATGTTATTTTAGTGTTACTTATTTCATAATTTAATTTAGATTTTGATTTTTCTCACCAAGTTCTATTTCTTAAGTTCCATTCGTTGTTCATTACCAAAATTATAATATTATTCTTAAAAAAAATATTTTTCAAGCTCAAAGTTTTGATACGAGAAAGATATTAATGGGAAAATAACATAGTATTAAATTGCAAAAATTAATAACAGACAAGCAATTTAGAAGGTGTATTAAATTTCAAATTATTAACAGACAAGCAATTTAGAAGATGTATTAAATTGCAAATTAGTAACAGACAAGCAATTTAGAAGATTAAAAAAAAACAATACTTACAACACTCGCAATTTTTTCATTCCTTCAAATAAATCTTTTCCAAGAGTTGTTATGTTATTCTTGTTTAACGTTCTGCAAGAGAAAAAATATATTTCATAACATCAAGCTAATACAATAAATCTTTCATACATGTTAGGTACATGAAGCAATTTAAAGTATGTTTATTTCATATAAATAGTAAGGCATAATCATATTGATCTTGCACTACAACTAAAATTCTCTAACGATGAATACTAAAATATTTGAATCTAACATATTTGAATCCAACAATCGAATTTGAATCCTACGATATTTACAGTTGGTATATGAAGAGTTAGTTATATCGGCAATCGACAAATGATTAAAAAATAAATAAAAACAAGAAAAGGAATTCTTAATTATGTACCTTTGATAGAAAGGCTCTGTAGAAAATGGTACAAAGAGAAATATCCTGATATACTTCACGTTTTCAATAGGAATATAGAACTATTATTTGTTATTGCTTTCAGAGAAGTACTTAACAAGTTCTTGGAATACTTTTCTAAATAATTATTTTTGTAAATTTTTAATTAGTATCTGTTTTATACGCAGAATCAATTAAATAAATCTAAATCGTCGTTTTTTGCTAAAATTCTATTTTAAATGATTTGGTAATGTGGCATTTTTTTTATTTCTTCAAGCACTTTGAACGTAACACAATTGGTTCAAAAATAGCTGAACCAGATTTTGAATGAAAGCGAAAATGTAAACATGCTCCCCAGTAATCATAAGCTATGGCAAATTATGTATAGCTCTATCGGTACTGACATATTTATGAGATTAAGAATAGTAAAATTCATATTTACATCCATAAGTAACTCTCATAAACCCTTATTTTCTTAGATCTTAAAATGGAATTATATTCCATCCTCCATCGGTGGTTCAAAAACAAATCATGCAAAATTTGATTGAATTTTTTTATTTTAGTTTAATAAAATGTTTCAGAATGATTTTATTTTTTGTTGAATAAAGTTCATTGATTAAATCGCTGATTAAAAGTATTAGAAAGACCAAAAAGAAAGTTGAAATAGTTATATCTTGGCTTGGAAAAATGCTTCTCAAAATATCCAAAATTTGGCTTGTGATATTGTATAAAGCGACAGCAAAATTTTTTTCGAAATTTATTTATATTCTAATTTTGTATTTTTGAAGCATATGTTTTTATCTAAAAAATTTACAAACATGAATATTTTTAATATTTAAAAAAAATTATTAGACATAATTTCGGATTTAAACGAAGCAAATCATGCAAAGCGTGCAAAACTCAGTTAAAAACAACAAATTCTTCATTTTATTTATTTTGAATTATGAAAAATATTAATTATAATTATTACTAATAAATAAAATAATTTCTTAATTTATTTTTTCAACACTTAGTATGGTAGAAAATAAAGTCTTTCTTTATTGTGATGAAAATTTTGTAATTATTATGATTTTTTAAAATTTATTTTTTATCAATGTAATGTTTTGAAATTTGTTCAATGAGGTTTATGTTTTTGCTTTGAGGTTTATGTTTGCCCAAGACTAAATTAGAAATTACAATATCATATTTTTTTTGTCTTGCGTAATTTAAAATATGCATACTATATTAATAGTTGCACTACTTTGATATCTCGATTTTTAAATAAGTTTGATTTGTTAAAATAATAATTTTTCAAAAGCAAAACTAAAATTTTAAAAATGAGCAAGTTTTGGAATTTATTTTACATTTATTTGGTTAGCTTTTGATTAGTGTAGCATTATAAATAATTTTTAACTTTTCGCATGTTATAGAAAAACTTATTATTATCTTCAGGGTATATCTATTCATATAATAGACAACGTGTTATGAGACGTCGTGATTTGTTTCGTCAGTTATTTTTTATACATAAAATTTTAATATTAACTTATTTTATTTGTTTCGTATTTTTCCCCTTACACAACTGTAAATGGATATTTGTCGGTAGAGTTAATGTAGAGTTATTTATTATTATAAATAATAGTAATAACAATTTTTGAGCTAAATTACAAATAAGTGTTTGCTTTTCATAAATGACAATAGAAAATAACGTCAATTTTTATAAAGGACAATAATAAATAGTGTTGTATTCAAAACACTCAAGCATGAAAATGTTTATTTTAACATTTTTTTATTTATTTATCAGTTTCGAAGTCTAAGGTTTATACTAGGGAGCCTCGTTTTTCTAATTTTTTTTTTCGGAACAAAATGTTAATACCCGGCAAAAGTGCCCAATCAATGTGGATATTAGAGAGAAAAAAAATTTTTCAAATCAAATGATATGTATGGCATCAAAATTTTGAAAGGTTTATTAAAACACCAAAATTTTCAAATTTTAGTTAGATTGAAACTGTCTTATAATTTAGTTAAGAAATGCTCCTTACATTAATTACATCTTACTTTTAATCCGTAAAATTTAAGTGAAATATCCTTAAGTGGATTAAAATACTTCCAGCGGAAGTTAAAATGAAGCAAAAATTTGGTACAGATGCCGCTTTCGGCCTAATTTGACAGCGATGCAAGAGGACTACACCTAAGACTCCTTTTATTAACACTAGAAAGACTAAACATTTCTGTATACCAATAAAGACTGAAGGAACCAGTTCTGTCTTTCCCAGATTGTTTGAGTGTAGATCAATTAGACATCTAAAATCTTAAAATATAATCATCATTAATTTCATAAAAACGTAGAATTGATCTTCGAACTTCTATGGTATTTTATTCGATTTGGTTAAGTGAAATATTTGATTAAACGAAACCAGGTTTTTTCAATTTAACTTATACATTGTTTCTTACATAATTGAGTTTCCATTTCTCTATAAATAGTAATTATAGATATGGTTTTTTACGAAACTGGGGTGCCTTATATACATCCAAAGGGTACCTTAAACCCAAAATTACCTGTAGTAATGGGGTACTTAACAAAATGCTAAAGGAGCCACTCTGGCCCCTTTCATCATTCCAGGTTCTATGTGTACTTATCTATAAGGCTAACACGTGAATGATTAAATAGACACTTAAATTCGATCAAATTATGAAAAGTCAAAAATACTCCACAATTTCAATAAGTTACTTTTCGAATTTCAGGGCAACGAAAAAGATTAAATTGGTTCCCATCCGTCTTTCTAGTGTTAATTCTACGCAGCGAACTAACGCCAAAGAGGATATGCTTGGTTACTGAATCCTCGGATTTGACTGCTAATTGTAATTTTCAATTTTTTGCAAAATGGTCACAAAGTAGAATTTTGATAAAAACTGCGGTACGACTTGCCAAGAAAATTAAGTCAGCCTTTTAATGATGCTACTTCTAAAATCACATCAGTATACACGAGAGACTGCTTCTGGAACCAAATTTATTGCCCGCTCTAATCCGTGTTGCACAAACTGTTAACTCCACCAAATTTAGAATTCGTAGTTACACCAAAATGTGGTGAAAGACCATTTTAGTGCAGTATTACTGAGAGGTGAAAGTTTCTCAATGTTTTCCACTTATTAAAACATTCTTTAATTTGATTTATTGGATAATAGGTATATAGGTAATAGACACTTGAATGATTTACATGTGAATCATGCAGCGTAATTTTCGCTTTAAAGTTCAGCTGAGGAATGTCACTTCATCAAATGTAATGCAGAAGATTCTCAACACTAAACATACCAACACTTTACAATACAACATATAATAACCGGACCTTTGACCTGTTATGGTATGCTTAGTGTTAAACTTGCCTTATCGAGCATTAAACGAGTATTATCGAGTATTAGAGAAACTTGATGAACAATAAAACGAATATCAGCCATTATGGCGAGTAAAATACAATCTATTCTGGGAAAACTACATAAGCATTCATCTGAATGTAAGAATAGACTACTGTCTGATAATCCATTAATAAATTTATGGATACAAGAGAATTTCGAACACTTGATCAGATTAGCTATGGAAAACGGTGCTCTCATAAAAACTGTAATGGGTATCACATTCTCTAAGAATTTTTTTCGGATTCCTACTAAATTCTATACACAGTCTTAGAATTCTGTTCGCACTGATCAGCATATTAGTTATGTGCAGTTTTTAGCGCTCCTGGAGGCCTTTCACCGAAACTAATGGCATCAGCAGCAAGCTCACAAAGTTTTTACTGAGTTTACAAGATCATCACGACTGAAGCAAGTTACATTTAAAAACGATGCTGCTGGAATCTTTTCAGAAGCAAATAGTTCTAAACCTATTTGAGCAAGCGAGAATCAGTTAAGAACGGTGAGTCGATGTATTTTCGTCCGCTTGAAGCTCTGTATACCCAATGCTTATGGTCTCGTCACGGACATTTAGCAAGGAAATAAGTAACTCCATTAAAACAAATAAGTACTTCGTCCACACAGGCGATACTCTACTCGCCATGATAATCGATTTTCTTCATGCTGTCCGTCAAGATACACCGAATTGCACTTTAACAATCGAGATTTTGATATATTTATCATTATATTTCATGTAATGACAGTCCTCATGTAAACTTTGAAGCGAAGGACTACCGAATCCAATGAGAAATCACATAAGTTTTTGTTGCTGTACCACCATTCTTAAGCATTAATGTAAGAATGTGTTAAATGATTAACTCATTGACAAACGACAAACTTTAGTTTTACGACAATAGTGCGAGAACCAGAATAGCAATTCAACGCAATTCCATGCCGCGGGGCCAAAGTAAGACATGAATTTGATTACAGAAGATGACTTTCGATTATGCGATTGTGACGTTAGAGATGGTATCATAAGACTGGATTTACTTTCTAGACAAACTCTGCTAAAATTAAAATCAAAATCCAAATTCCTGAAAATTGACAGAAAATTGCTAAAGCCGGTTATAGTTATGGTAAGTCGGTACGGCAAAGATAATGGAGAACCCTTAGGTGCAGCCACCTTCACGTGGTGGGTCTTGAATCACTTCACTAGCCAAGTGTGGCTACCAAATTTGCCATCTGTACTAAATTAGCGCTCCATTTCGACTTCCACGGGAGGTATATCTGTCCCTTTAAGGATATTCTGACTTAAATTTTGAGGATTAGGAGGAAGTTTTTAACGCAAGGTGTATTTCCTAACTCAATTATATGACCGTTCACCGTCCTAATCTAACAAAAAATATGGCCTTAAGATTTCGAAATTTCAGTGGTGCTTATTCATTCAAATTTTGTAATCTAAAGGGCATACTTCTCAAAGAAGATATTATTTGATTTAAAGAAATATATATGTAGATATATCTGTAATGTTTACTTGGTCACTTTTGGCGGGTTTTACATTTTGTTCCAAAAAAGTTGAAAATATGAGGCATTTTAGTATATACCAAAAGTACACTTTCAAAGATATAATTATATTTTGATGAACAAAATTCAGTTCCCTGTATACAAAACGACAGGAAAAAAAATTCGACAAAAGAATACATATGTGACATAGCAACCCACATTGCGTTTTTGTAAACTTTATACTTAAAAAGACAATAAAAGTTTGAAATTTTTAATTAATGGTTTATGTTTTTTTTATCAGAGTTACTTTTTGAGAAAATTTTGAAACACTTTATACACATTCATATGCATAATCATTTTATCTTAAAATCTCAGGAAAAACATTCACAAAAATCAAAAGAGAACCGTCACCGCCTTCTAAATCAAAACCAGATATTTTTCTAGCATTTACCTCTAGAACATTAATACTTTTATTAGAACCTATAAATACTTAGCTAAATTCATTAGTAATAAATAAACATTAAGGTCAGATTCACGCTTAAAAGGAAATAAATCATGGACAAAACGTAGTACAATCCGAAAGCATAAATCTGGATTAATGGAGCGAAAGTGAACGAAGCCGGCCAAAACGTTCGTTGGAAGTTACAAAGCGTTAAAAATAGCGTAATCTGCAAAATTAAAGGAAGGCCGCTTACCGGAATGGGGCAAGCACACGCAACCCACACTGAGTACCGATGCAACCGAATATCGATAAATAATTCATAAGAATCTTTTGGAAAAAGTACGTGATCGTACTAAAGGAAAGCAACCACAGTTACAGTTAGATGGGAGTGAAAAAGCAGAGCTTTCTTTCTAAGCACGTTCTCATGAATGTTTGGTTCTGTAATAGCTACCCACGTGCTTTTAAGTTATTGTATGGTATGGTATCTACAAGTTACGGATTTTGGAAAGATCAAAGAAAGTAGATTTATATGGAAAAAAAATATGCTTCCTTTTGATTTTTCTGCATTTATTAGATAGGAAATATTGAAAAATCAGAAAATTCTTAAAACTATAATGATTTTTTTAATGTAGTGTAAATGAAAATTATGCGTTAAACTTTTGAAGCAATAACACATCAAATAAATAAGATAATTATTCTTTCTTGATTGTTTATAAATTAGTACCATGCATACTGAGCAATTTTTTAGGAATTATTTTTCATGTTAGTTGCGTGTCAAGAAAAGCGTCAAAACAAAGTTTCAAAATTTTTTTCCCCGCCGAACTACGATAAAGAGGTTTACAAATTTTTGCCGGGAAATCTTGCCTGGAAACAAATAACAAGATATGAATTTGTTGCAAAATTAAATGAAAAATAAATATTTAGGTAAAAACCTTCTTTGCTTTCACACGACAAAACTCAAAACCCAACAAACATGCAAATGAAAGAATCTTTTAAGAGTTAGTGGAATAGCACGTATAAGTTTGTAACAGAATTTTCCATTACTTTTCTATATACCACTATTCTTTGGGTTATATTTTCCTTATTTATAGCTTTATGGATGATAACAGGGTGTTTTGAGCTTATTCACTCAAAACAGAACAAACATGCAAATGAAAGAATCTTTTAAGAGTTAGTGGAATAGCATGTATAAGTTTGTAACAGAGTTTTCCATTACTTTTCTATATACCATTATTTTTTGGGTTATATTTTCCCTAGTTATAGTTTTATGGATGATAACAGGGTGTTTCTTATTCAAAATTTTATCTTCTTTCTCAATGCATTTTTTAATTAAGTTTTGGAATTTCAAGCATTTTTAGTCAACTTAAGAAATTTTTTGAGGCAGCAAAAGATACGAATTCAGAGATATAAGATTTTATATCAATGGGTAATGATGTCAACTTTTCCTCACCATCACCAAAAAAATTAAGATATTCCAATTTTTTTAAGCCACCCAAGTGTCACACTGTTTTAAAAATACAGATTCTGTGTTGTTTAGTGCCCTTATATCATTAAAAAAATTACAGATTCTTTAGCATTTAAAATAAATTTAATATTCTGTATTTTAAGCAGAGCAAACAAAAGGAGAAAAATAATTTATATTATCTGTACTATATAATGTTTCGGTTTTCGTAGATCAAAACAAATTTGTCCAAATCACATCTCATTTAAATTCTGGTGAAAATTAAAATAAAATCTATTCAAACGTAAAACTACTTTTTAATTCTAAGCTCAAAGAAAAATCTAAGAAACGCAATTATGAATTCTAGAAATATTCTAAAAATACTTACAAAATTTCCATATCTTTCAGCATTCTTATTGAGACATCATCCACGCACGTAATTTCATTGTTATCCATTTGTCTAGAAAATAAATTTAAAGCTCATTACAGAAAAATAAATCAAATTTAAATATTTTAAAAAAATGGGATATACGCATTTAAACATTTATTTACTTGCATGCGTTATATTTTTATTCGAATGAGATTTTTATTGGTACTTAAACTTTATAAAATTTAAAACAAATACGAACGCAACGATACTTCTTTTATTTGATTATTAGACATAAATAGTTGTAATAGATTCTATGAAAAATCATGAATAACGTTACGGAGGCATTTTATTTAATTTAGATTTATTTTCTGCTTCCGGGAGGAAAATTGAATAAATAATGAGATTAAATTACATTATACGCTTTCAACTCTGTTCTACGTTTTGAAATAATTTGTTAAGAAACATTTATTTCTACTTCGAAAAATATAATTTTTTTTCGAGCAGTAAAATTGTTAAATTATTCACTTTCGGAGAAAATAGTATAAGGGGGAGTTTTAAAAATATAAACTCTGTCTAAACGGAAGAATGATTTTAAGTCGATTCTAGATAACTGAGGATTTAAATTGTTATGCATTACTAAATTGAAAGAAGATACTATTTTTATTTTAATCAGTGTAATTTAATTTTATTTGTTCCATTATTTACATTCAAAAACATGATCGGATTTTGTTAGAATAAATAATAAATTAATTAAATTTCGGTTCTTTGAAAGAATGTGGGTTACGCTCTATCACATTTTCAACTAGAAAAAATAAAATATTTACATTCAATTATAGTATCAAATTACGATTTTTAAATAATGTCAGAAAATTTAAATATGTATAATTATATAAGATTGCTTCTTTTGTATATCGAATCTTTGAAAGCATTTTTCTGGAGAAAAAAAAAAGAGAATTTTGTTCATTTTAATAACTAATAAGATATGCTACAACAAGTTCATTGTTGATAACAGTATGAAAAATTGTAATTTAGCTGATAGTTGTTTTATGTGAAACAGTGTTTTGTTTAGATGAAGTTCTATTAATTTATATTATTTTATTATAGTAAACGTTTTAGAATTACCAGATTATGACAAGAAACTTATTTTCTTTAATAAAAATTTTATTTTTTGAATCCTCTCTGTTTATTTAAAATTATGTATATATTTGAGAAAAATCTATTTCATTAAAATATTTAGACATTAAAATTGAAAAGTAAAATAATATAATAGTTGCGAGACGTTTTTGTTATTAAAATAATTTTTATTCGAGTAAAACTCTAGAAGTTTATGAAAATTATTTATAATCAAAATGCTATTTCCTTAACAACGAGTATAAGTTCTTCAATATTTAAAGAAAAAGTGGATTTAAAATTAGAATTCTCATTTCTTTTCCTTTTTTAGTGAAATTATTATTAATTAATAAAATTTTACAATCATTAGAAAATCTAATTCCATTTAATTTTCGATTATACATTAATTTCTTTTACAAAACTGTCAAGATAATTTTTGTCTCAAGCTCGTTTCGCGGCAAAGTATTATTTGATTACATTACTTTGATTACATTACTTAATTTGATTATATTACTTTATTTGATTACATTACTTTATTTGATTACATTACTTTATTTAAATAGATGTCTTGATATTACTAAAATTGATAAAAAGAATTATATTCTAGAGCAAAAATTTATATGTTTTTTTTTTAAATCCTTTTTCCTCACCGAAATTGTCTTTTATAAAATTATCAATCAGTATGATAATTATATTTATAATAAAAGAAAAAAACTATAACTCTAGTCAATAGAACCAAAATACACTGTATTAAACCATTCGTTTGGTAATTCTTCCATTCATATAGTAACAGTTAGCCGAAAACTCTGGTTTTAAAAATTATAGTCTTACTACCTACCACAATTTTACTAAATAAATCGCTTTTAAGCACTGCTCTAAGGTATCATGATGGATTCATATTTAATATATTAATTTAATAAATTAATTAATTCAAATTTAATAAATTAATTCAAATTTAATAAATTGCTTAATTCAAATTTATTAAATAAATTAATTTAAATTTAATAAATTAACTAATTCAAATTTAATAAATTAATTTAATAAATTAATTTTATAAATTAATTCAAATTTATTAAATTAATTGAAATTTAATAAATTAACTGAAATTTAATAAATTAATACTATTTAATTCAGTTAATTATTAATTTTACCAAAATAATTACCGTTTTGGTTAAAACAACCGAGCTTTTTGGTGTTTCATGAGCGCAACAAACACAGTAAGTCTTAGCATACTCTTATAATTTTGACTTGACTTTTTTTCTCCGAGTAAAATTACTCAGAATTTTAGTTAAAGCATTTTTCTGCAATAAGTTAATTTTTTTCATAAATTTAGTTTTTTCATTAGTTTTATTAATTCATAAAATGATTCAAAATTTCAGTCAGAATTTTCCTCGTGAAAACTTATATGTGTTTTAAAATGGTATTCAAATAACAAAACTATGCTTTAGTAAAATGCATAACCTTACTAAAAAAGAAAATTCAAAAATAGTGTTTACAGTACTTTACTATATTTTTTATTTAAGAATAAATCGAAGGTTATTTGTTTTTACAATATCAATAAAACTTGCTCTTCTATTTCAATCATATAATTTACCAAAACGAATGTATAAAAAGCAAAATCCCAATTAAGGAAATTGAAAACAATATATAAACAACAACAAAAACCAATGGGAGGCCCATAAATACAAATGGGAGGTAGTAACTGTCATCTATCATTTCATATAACATCCCGAGTAGCCTTTATACTTAGGAAAATGACAAACCTTGCATTTCGACAGTCTATCTTTTACATTTAAATGTCATCTTATGTGATGCACAAAAGAGTTATTGAACCATCATTCATGTATTTCGAATCCTTTTTCTTTTGCAGTAATATGTAACATATTAATTTGTAGTCAAAGAAATATAATCAATGTGCACAATTTGGAAGAATTCTCGTTAATTGTTCATTCTTTCGAATGTCATTCAGAGATTGAATTTGAGTAATAAGTTAAGAATTCTAATTAAAAGAACATAACTAAAAAAGAACAATGATGAACTAAATATATTGGAAAATATTTATGGCGTGTTACAAAATTAAAAGACTACCTCAAATATAACTTATTTTTATTGTACACTGATAAAATAAATAATTTTAAAATAGTGAAACATCTGAAAAAAGTTATATTTTCTGAAATAAATCAAAGAATGAAAATAAATTGATTTATTTTCCCATAGTAAACGATTTTTTAAATCTAGGTGTTACGAAAGTATAAGACCACCTATTTCGTTTAAAATCGTTTGAGGTCTCAAAATCTTTTTATTTTTTCCTTGAAAATCGTATGCAAACCCTGACTTTATACTGCAAAAACGCAATAGAGTTTAATTTATTTAACACGCGAAAAAGAATTATCTGAGTTAGTTCGAAATATTTTGATTTTAAAGGATTTGTAAAGTCGGGATGAGAAATATTTAAGTTAATTAAATGTTCTAAATTATGTGCTGTTCATAATGTTTTAAGCAAAAGAGATTCTTATGGTAAGTTTAAAAGATCTGGTAGGAAGCGTAAATTATCAGCTCGGAGTAATAGATACATTTTTATACTTGCAACGAAACAGAACTTGTCTGCTTGCAAAATAACTCAACAGACAAGTAAAGCAATCTCCCAAACAGAAGAAATTTATATTAAACTTGAATGTTGTTATTCGAGAATTGAAAGAAAGTCAAGACCATTAAAACCTCATAAAGAAGAGAAGCTGAAGTGGTCAAGGGAGGTCATGACCTATATTGCTGTTTAGAAAACTATTTTTTCGACGAAAAGAAGTTCAATTTGGACAGCTCGGATGGTAATAATTACAAATTCCATGATTTGCAAGCTGAACTTCATGATTTCTTCAGTAAACAGATAGGTGATAGCTCAATGATGGTGTGGGGAGCTTTTGCGTATCGTGGTATATTCGACTTGCAGCAAATTTCTGGAAGAAATAGACTCTAGATGTTATCAAATATTCTTCACTTATTACTACCCCCTTACTACTACCTACTATCCCTTATACTTTTAGGTCTACATCTAGGTGGGTCAGACTGGAAATTTAAGCAGAACAATGGGCCATACCATGTGGCCCAATGAACTAAAAATGAGTTTCAGAAAGAAAAAAAATTCGAAGTTCTAAGCTGGCTAGACCCTAGTCCTTATCTTAGGAAAAAAGGATGGATACCTGGCACCGCCACAGTCTTGGAGTCGTGATGGCTCAGGTGATAAAGCGCTCGACTCCCAATGAGGTGAACTGGGTTCGAATCCCAGCAATGGTGGTCGTTACGAATTCCACACCTGCCTCGCACCAACCACAGTGCTGACGTAAACTATCCTCAGTGGAAGACGAATCATGGGTTAGAGTCCCCTTGCCGTCAGACTAACCGTGGGGAAGTTTTTCTCTCCATGTAACACGAATACGGGTCAATTTTATCAAAAAGTCCTCCATGAAGGAAAAATTTCTTCCAATACTTGACCCTGAAGTTCCCTCGTCTTCTGGAGTAGATTCAAAATTACAAGGCTACAGAGTTGAACATTGGTAGACGTAAACTCAAAAATTTGGATTGACTGCTCAACAACGATTATAAAATAAAATTAAATAGAGAAAACTAGTGGGTTACTCGGAAAGACAAGAGTATGCAAATAATCACAAATGAGATTTTGGATGTATCACAGATGAATGGGACAGAATTCCTAAAACTTAGCCAGAAAACTTGATGGAAAATTGAATATTTTAAGTTATCCTGAAAAATGATGGATCATAATCTATTTAGTTTTGTAAAAAAGCTCATTTTAACTGGTGGTCTTATAATTTTGTAACAGATTTTTGAGAGGAAATTTTGATATTGTAGACTATTTATATTTAAATATATCTCTTAAAAATTATATGCAGATATTTTGTCTTTCCTTCCCTTTTCTTCAATTAAATTTAATTTCGGAAGATTTATATATAACTTATAATAAAAACCAAGGTAGTCATTTAATTTTGCTTGAAACACTGTAGTTGAAGTAACATTGACATATCTAATTTAATAATTAAATAAGTTGTATTTAATTTTTTTTATTTACTTACAAATTTTTCAAAAGGGGTGCTCCTCTTAGAGTTTTCTTTCCAATCATTATCAGTCTGTTATTACTTAAATCTCTAGAGAAAAAGAAGAAAAGAAAAGATTAATGATATAGAGAAAGTTTAAAGGTATACATATTATGACAATATGACTTTAGGCCCCCGAGTCTTCGAGGGTCTATTGAACGTTATGCATAAAGAAATAAATATCATTCATACATAAACTAAATTTATTAACTAAAACAAGAACACAACCATCTGATCTGAATGAAAAGTAAAGTTGAAAAAATGAAAACCAAATTACAACTACAGTTGTCAACCGAACGTTGCCAACGGTGTTAAATAAACTTAAAGCTTTAAATAAAGTTAGGTGAGGCTAGATCCATAGCTCACCATAATGACATAAAATGACATAGAATGACATAAAATTATTGACACTGGTGATTTTGATTACATATTATTTAAATAACATGTGAAAATAAAATAAAAACCCATTAAAGTCACCTGCTTTCAAACGTTGTTAATATTATTGCTTAAAAGTAATTGGCTGATCTTAACCTAATAATTTTTAAGGCTGAATTATTTTAAAATTAAATTTATGTAAAAATATTCTTAGAATTCAAGACCTAGCTATGGTAAGAAAATGAAATATTTCTCTTGAAAAATTCTTTATTGTAAAAAAGTAAGATCGAAATTGAGTAAAAGTTTTTTAATGGTCAATTGTGAAAAATAAACTCAAAATCAGGCAAAAATACTTCTTTTCTTTACTGCTGAAAAATGCTTAAATGTCATAAGTAAACTCAAAATTGAGAATTTTTATTAAAATGTTAAACTGTTAAAAATTAAATAAAAATGATTTTTTGTTTGAGAAATGATCAAACTGTTAAAAAATTAACTTTTTAAATTTTAACCTGATTTCAAAACATTTTTATTTTTTATCTTTTCGGTTAATAAATGAATAAAAAATTCCCATATCGAAACAATATCTGAAACTTAACTCGAGTCGAATTTTTTTTTATTTGCGAATTTTAATGCTTTTTTAGGACTTTTTTCTTCCTTAACGCTAGTTTTTTAGTGTAAAATTTGTTGTAGTTTTGCATGCTCAATCAGTATGTAAATATGTACAAATTAAAATATTTAACACATTACTTCACAGGTTAAAAAATTATTAAAAAAACACCCATGAGAATAAATGAGAACAAATTTACATTCTGCACTGAGAAAAAAAAGTATGTTTAAAACTACCAGAATATGGTAAAATTTACCATGTTTCTGGCTCTGTGGGAACACCAAAAATCTCGGTAGTTTTTACCGGAGTACTTTGGTAAAATTAATAATAAAATATAGTTTTATAATGTGTAATAAAATTTAGTATTATTGTCATGATACCTTAGAGCAAGGCATAAAAAACATTTATTCGGTTAAATTTACTTTTCAGTTATTTTACATTTCGTACGAATTTCAGGCAAATCCGTAACATTATGAACAGAAATATTCCAAAATGAATGGTTTAAATACCGTATATTTTGGTTTTATTAACCAGAAATATGTTGTTCTTATCAGTAATGTCATTTCCATATATTACGGCAATTTTACCAGAATTTTTTTTAAACCAGAATTATTCTGTTTTTATCAGTAATGGTCATTTCCATATATTACGGCAATTTTACCAGAATTTTTTTTAAACCAGAATTATGTTGTTTTTATCAGTAATGTCATTTCCATACATTACGGCAATTTTACCAGAATTTTTTTAAAACCAGAATTATGTTGTTTTTATCAGTAATGTCATTTCCATACATTACAGCAATTTTACCAGAATTTTATTTTATTTGTTTTTATTAGTATTGTCCATTTTATCAGTTTAATTTATTTGTTTTTATCAGTAATGTCATTTCCATACATTACGGCAATTTTAATATTCGTTTTTATCAGTATTGTCTGTTTTATCAGTTTAATTTATTTGTTTTTATCAGTATTGATATTTCCATACATTACGGCAATTTTACCAGAATTTTTTTTAATTTATTTTTATCAGTATTGTCCGTTTAATCAGTTTAATTTATCCTTTTTTATCAGTATTGTCCGTTTTATCAGTTTAATTTATTTGTTTTTATCAGTAATGTCATTTCCATACATTACGGCAATTTTACCAGAATTTTTTTTTTCAGAGTGTGATATTAAAGACAAAAAACTAAAATCAAATTTGAAAATCTAGTACATAATCTTAAGTTCTATTATTTTACAAAATGAAAATTGTTTGAAATTTCAAAAACCAAATTTTTAATTTATAAATCGCTTAAATACAAGCATATAACGTATTACATATAAATAATATATTCCAATAATAAATATATTCCAATAATAATGCAATCATAATAAATATATTCCAATCTCTAAAATAATTAATACTGCACAACCAGAATATCCTATATTTATTTGCCACTTTTTCCTATAAAATAATGCAAATTACATAACAATTTGCCCCCCCCCCAGTCAGTAGACTAGACCAAAAGACGGTTTTACAGGCAGGTACCCGTTTTGCTGATGGTGTTAGTCGGTGTCAAAGCTCGAAGCATGCGTTAACAATGGGCTGCTATTAGGAGGCCTGCAACCTTATTACATAGTCTAGATTTATGCAGTAAGAAATAGCTTTCCTATTTTAGGATTAATGACCAGATTTCCTAATTCAAGCAATTTTTTAAGCATTGACTCGTCTTTTCAATAATGCTGTCAACTAGTAATTACATACTTTGATGTTTAGGCGTAATCTAATAAGGGATTGATTGCATTATTAGAACTAATTTAGCAATTTGAAGAATACTAAGAAGCTATTTTTTTCCCCTTCCTTTTTTGAGGACACCGCATTTTTTTCATTTGATCTCACATTTTTTCTCGCGCTAAATTGAGGTTTGTCTGGTGTTTATTAAAATTTGGTTCATTTATGTAAATTACAAAAGCAATTTATAAATGCAAAACTTAGAAGATTATATTGACTCATTTTTTTTAATCTTAATCTTAAATCAGTGGGTTAAAGCTGTTTATTGATGATTTAATTGCCTTATGAAATAATGATTAAAGAATAATATTCTATTCTATTCTATTTGTGAGTTTCATGTATTTATTAACTCTTTGATGTAGAATTTTAAAAAAAAATATTTTTTCATATTTTTTTATTATTTTGTATAAATTTAAGTCAAAATAAATGAAAAATATTAACATTTTATTACAGAATTAAACATTTTAATAATTGATAGTTATGAAACACAGCATAAAACAAAGGTGCCTTTTTCTGTGATAAAGGCAAAATATTCCAAACACTAATTTAATAATTAAAAATAATAACTCTAAACAATAATGTTTCAAATTTAAAGTTATTTAGATCTAAGAGAAACAGTTATACCACATTTAAATTTCCTTAATTTGCAAAATCTATTACTGACAAATTTTTGAATATAAGTGCAAAAAAATTTAACTACTTTTTATGTACATTATATTTCAGTACAAAAATAATTCCTATAATCTAGCAGATTTTTCTTAGTAGCTATTAGACTATGTTTTATAGTTAAAAAATACCAATTAAAACAAAACTATTATTTTCTATTAATATATATATATANATATATATATATATATATTAATTAAAAACAAAAGTCAATAGTTAAAATAATGTTTTCCGTGCTTGTACTATACTATATATTTCACCACTTATCTATCACTCAGTTATAAATATAGGTTTAAATTTAGTTCTTTTAAATTACTTTTCATAGTTATAACGCAAAGCGTATATAATACAGCCTACGCTTCCCGTGAGAAATTTATGACCAAATAACAACATATCAAATTTCATATATTAAAAAAAGAGCAGTAATAAAACGTCTATTAAATATACTATCACTACTTTTAAAAATAAATTCCTTTTACAGACCCGCAAAATTAGTATAAACATACTCAAACATGATAAGGAAGATCAAAAAAAGGTTTGGGAAGATATTCGAAGATAAATGTAATATAACGACTCTTCCCTTTTAGAGAGGATCTTTAATAAGATTTTTTACAGCTTCCGGAAATGAGATACTTCCTAAACTTTGAAAGAGTGAAAGGAGTACAAGCAACTGCACAATTTTGGCGATTTAAAAGAATTTATGCTCGCCATGAATTATAGAGGTGAATGTTCTGGGGTTAGAATAATTTTTAAAGGGGTGGGTTGTGTTTTCTAGAGTTTTAGACGATTTAAGAAAATTATTAATTTGCGAGGAAAATAATTTACTGAGATGTGGCCAGGTTTAATTTGTATTTACATTAGTTAACAATATTTAGCTGCGCAATATTGTAAGCTAAAGTAATATTTGGAGTAATATTCAGCAATATTTGGAGATGTAAAATTGCTTAAAATTCTGCATTTTTTCTGGAAGAATATCATAATTATTACAAAAATAAAAAGTAGAAAGTATGTATTTTATAAAATGGCCGTTATAATTAAAAAAGTTAGAAAATAACATTAATAGCACAGTAAAATATCATTAACAAAACTAGACATTCAGAAATTTAAAAAAAAAATACAATGTACAGGAAATTTAAAATTTTTTTATATTTTGAATATGAAAAAGCGATATTTAAAATTTAAAAATAGGAGCGTTGAATGAATGTCAATTACATAAAAATGCGTTTCTATGAATTTAAAATCACCATTCTAAATTCAAATAAAAGAAAACATCCTTTTTGGATAAACTATGAAGTTTCTCAAATAATAACAATTGAAAAAATTTAAAATAATTTTAAAAAAAAGTATCAGATTTAAGTACAAAAGCACAAATAAAATAAATAAGTAATTCAATGCTTGATCACATAAATTGTAACAAAAATTTAAAATATTAAGTGATAGTTATTAGCGAAAAAAAATATAATATCAATGCTTGTTTATTCTAATAAATCACGGAATTCTTTTATAAATAGATTTTCTATTAAAATTCCAAACACTATATGATAATTTTTTTGTCTCAGAATTAACACTGTTTCTTCCACGTTTTAACTTAATAACAAATAAAGTAATTGGCGTTACAGTTGCAAAAAAGGTT